CACGACAGTTTAAATGTTCATATAAATTTTTCAAATGTTCCCATAGACTACGAGATATCACGTCGGGATAAAAAAGAGAATGAAACATTTCTTAAAATAATGTGGAAACATGTCTCACAGACACATTTTAAAACAGTGAGACTGATGGCGATACGTAATGGGCCAAAGTAGATAATCACTGCTAACGGCAGCTTAGGCTATTACAAATGGTATCAAAGCCAGACACCGAGCGGTGTGCCAACAAAGACGCTGGCCCCCAAGGGGGTGGATTGTGAGATCTCACGTCAGTTGGAGAAGAGAACAAAGCATTCTTTATAGGAATGTGAAAACCTCTCCCTAACAAACATGTTTTAAAACCGTAAGGCTGACGACGATACATAACAAGTCAAAACGGATAATATCTACTAGCCGCGTACTTGGGCTGTTACACTGACATCCATATTTTCATTAAATTGAGGTCTCTACATTTTTCGTCAACATTGTCATTTAAAACTTGAGTGTTAATATTACTCTTTTTAATATTTCTTCATGAAAATTTTAAAGTTGAAGGTTTATTATGATTTCAGGTAAGTAACACAGGTGAAACAAGATTTGAGGTTTCAAACATATTGTTAAGGATAGTTGACCGTTCACTATAAGGCAAATATATTGCATTCATTTATTATTCTTTCCTTTTATTACTATTTCCATAATATTGTAATTTACCATATTTCTGTATCCTGAAAATGATTATAAATAAGAGAACTCTCACCCCCATTTAGGTGTGGTGGATTCAGCAAACATTCACATGGTATCAGAGCTCTTTCGGTTTAACAACCCTGATCCTTTCTTCTCTATGGCTTCCGAATCTTCTTATCATCTTCTTCCTTTCAATACTCTAATCCATATGATCACCATCAAACTTTCTTCCTCCAATTATCTTCTTTGGAAAAGCCAACTTCTCCCTCTCCTTGAGAGTCAAGACATGCTGGGCTATGTCGATGGAACTATGGTTCCACCACCTCGCTTTGAACCAGAAACCTCTTCAACACTCAACCCCAAATATTTGGCATGGAGAGCAGCCGATCAACGACTTCTCTGTCTCCTGCTCTCCTCTCTCACTGAGGAAGCCATGGCTGTTGTCGTTGGTCTCCCTACTGCACGTGATGTTTGGCTTGCGTTGGAAACTACGTTCAGCCATAGTCGAAAGCTCGTGAACTGAGACTCAAGGATGACTTGCAGTTAATGAAACGTGGCACCAAACCTGTTGCTGAGTATGCCCGTGCCTTCAAAAAAATTTGTGACCAACTTCATGCCATTGGCAGACCGGTCGAGGACATTGATAAAGTGCACTGGTTCCTTCGTGGACTCGGCACCGAATTTTCAGCTTTTTCTACTGCTCAGATGGCTCTTACCTCTATCCCCTGTTTTGCAGATTTAGTCTCTAAAGCTGAAAGTTTTGAGTTGTTTCAGCTCTCCCTTGAGTCCTCTAACTCCACTTCTACAGCATTCACAGTCACTAATCGTGGTCGCACCCATGGAAGCCACCCTGCTTCCTTTACCAACCAGCAGGGTCGTTCTCATTCTCACAAAAACAACTCTTCTAATCGAGGACGAACCCACTCAAGTCAAGGTCGTCGACCTCCTCACTGCCAAATATGCCGCAAAGAGGGCCATTATGCTGACCGCTGCAACCAACGGTATGTTCGACCTGATTCTTCTCATGCTCACCTTGCTGAAGCCTTTAACACGTCATGTTCTATTGCTGGACCCGATACTGCTGATTGGTTTCTGGACACTGGAGCTTCGGCCCATATGACTGCCGACCCATCTATTTTGGATCAGTCTAAAAATTACACGGGTAAGGACTCTGTGATTGTAGGAAAC